AATGGTCGCTTTTCCAAGATCAAGAACATGGCTGCTGGTCGCCGTGCCAAACTCAACGAGTCCCATCGCCTGCATCAGTTCTTTAGGGATTTGGATGATGAGGAGTCTTGGATCAAGTAAGCATTAGAAATATACCTTATGTCGACCATGACATTTTTAATGGATTCAAGAAGTAATTGTATGGTTACATGTTTAATTAACTAAGCACACATTTCACAGGGAGAAGAAGTTGCTTGTAAGTTCGGAGGATTATGGACGTGATTTGACTGGAGTGCAGAATTTGAGGAAGAAACACAAAAGGCTAGAGGCTGAACTTGGAGCTCATGAGCCAGCCATTCAGGTGAGGGATATTCATTTAATGTGTCACTATCCCATTATTCAAATCCCTTTAAAGAGATGTTGGGGTTTAAATGCCGTTTTTCTTTACATTGTTAAATGTTTTGGTCCCTGCAGTCAGTGCTGGATACGGGGAAAAAGCTGTCTGATGACAATACAATAGGCCAAGAAGAGATCCAGCAGAGGCTTGCTCAGTTTGTTGATCATTGGAAGGAACTTAAAGACTTATCTGGTGCACGGTATGTGACTACTTACTACTGTAAATGAATGGAGAGATGCTAAATGTTTGGAGTGGCAGTGGTTTGAGCGTTTGCCCACCAGCCAACTGTGCCTACTGTCATTCTGTCACCTTGCCTTTGTTTGAATGTGTTCATTGAATTTATTCAGAACCCCATTAATTTCCACAATGTGTCTTTCTAGAGTCTATAAACTCCAGAACTGAATGAGCAAATAATTGGTGGTACTGTCAGTTTACTCTAGGCAGATGTGGATACAGATGTAGCAATTGTCAACGTGCCTTAGAGTCCATGGAAAAGCACCAAAGAAGACTAATTCATTATTATGTTCAGGGGCAAGAGGCTGGAGGAATCTTTGGAGTACCAGCAATTTGTTGCAAATGTGGAAGAGGAGGAGGCCTGGATTAATGAGAAGTTGAACCTTTTGGGAAGTGAGGATTATGGTGATACACTGGCAGCAGTGCAGGTACTTCATCTCTCCTGTCCTTCTGTCAAATAGTGATTTAAAGCATTGCTTTTGAATACTCACCATTGATACAGTAAATTATAGCAGTTGGGTAATTCTCTGACAGGGCTTACTAAAGAAGCATGAAGCCTTTGAGACTGATTTCACAGTGCACAGGGACAGAGTCAATGATGTGTGCGCGAATGGAGAGGAGCTTGTCAAGAAGGTTAAAAACAATCTATACAGCAAAAATTCATTCAGTTCATTCAGTGTTTTGGCTTAGTTGCTGATATTTGCTACTATATAATTAACAGAACAACCACCATGTTGACAACATTAGTGCAAAGATAACTGCTCTCCGAGGCAAAGTGTCAGAGCTGGAGAGAGCAGCGGCTCAGAGGAAAGCAAAGTTGGATGAAAACTCTGCTTTCTTACAATTCAACTGGAAAGCGGATGTTGTGGAGTCCTGGATTGGTATAAAGAGTTTCCATATTAGTTAATATACAACATTTTTTTTTTTTTTCTCAGACAGTCTTCAGTGCATGTGTTGTTTGCAGGTGAGAAGGAGAACAGCCTAAAGACTGACGACTATGGTAGAGACCTGTCCTCTGTGCAAACCCTGCTTACTAAACAAGTAATGCCTCTAATATAGTATTAGACTTTGTCACACTACTTAGTGTCTAACATCTCCTTTCTGTTGTAGGAGACATTTGATGCTGGCCTCCAGGCTTTCCAACAAGAAGGCATCACAAACATCACAGCTCTCAAAGACCAGCTGCTGGCAGCCAAGCACATCCAGTCAAAGGCTATTGAGGCCCGTCATGCAGCTCTGATGAAGCGCTGGAATCAGCTACTGTCCAACTCTGCTGCTCGCAAGAAGAAACTCTTGGAGGCTCAGGAGCACTTCCGAAAGGTTCACTACTGAAAGCAGAAGAATACTCAAGACTAAGCTGTATATTTATGCATGATTTTGTCTCCACTCTCAATAAGGTTGAAGATCTGTTCCTGACTTTCGCTAAGAAGGCATCTGCCTTCAACAGCTGGTTTGAGAATGCAGAGGAAGACCTCACAGACCCAGTTAGATGCAATTCTCTGGAGGAGATCCGTGCATTGCGTGAAGCTCATGAGGCCTTCCGCTCATCCCTCAGCTCTGCTCAGGCAGACTTCAACCAGTTGGCGGAACTGGACCAGCAGATCAAGAGTTATCAAGTGATGTCAAACCCCTACACCTGGTTTACCATGGAGGCTTTAGAAGAAACATGGAGAAATTTGCAAAAGATTATCAAGGTCTGAAAAGTTACAAACATTAAAGCCCAATATGTTTTTGTCACTCACAATTAGTGTAATTGTGTATTTTTGTTTTTTTTTGTGAAGGAGCGAGAGTTGGAGCTGCAGAAAGAACAGAGAAGGCAAGAGGAAAATGACAAGTTGCGACAGGAGTTTGCTCAGCATGCTAATGCTTTCCATCAATGGCTCCAGGAGACCAGGTAAAGCCTTCATCTCAAAACTGATCTTTGGATTGCATTGTTCTTATTGACATTTTTGATACAAATACTCATCGTATTGTCTTTTTTCTCCCCTCTTGTTCACTGCTTCCTCGCTGGTGCTTGGGATTTCTTTGCTAATCAGGACATATCTGCTGGACGGGTTATTATCACTTTTTTTCTTTATGGGTGTGTGTGTGTGTCTGAAGAATGTGCATCTAAAACTGTGTGGAAGTGGCTCTTTATAGAAGGTTGTTGATGATTTTACAGAATTATTTCTGATCCTCCTCCTCACCTTCTCTCTGAATAGCATAGCTTATCGACGAGTTATCTGTGTCTATCAGTACCAAGTTGCTGATGATCTTTCTGGAAGGTCAATCTCTTTCGAGCTTTTTTGGTTTTCCATTGCCTCTGATCTGTGCCCTGGCCAGCTTTACCTCACACACATCAGTTTTTACTAACAGTCACCAAATGTACAGTTGTCTCTGTAGACAGATTTATCCCACCTTTTATTCACATATAATACGTGCCATTAGCAAGTTCATTTTCATCATACTAATGCCACAGGGCCAGTGTGCTGTAGCCCTAACCAGAAAAATGCATGGATTGGGTTACCACTAGTTAAATGGCATGGATTAAATATTAAAATGGAAATAACGAGCAGTTTAGACATTGACAGAGCCTTAACATTTAATTGGTGTAATATAAAGTTTTACAATGGTATCTTAAGGTATTATTAACCATGTTACTTGGGATCTTAAGTTACTTTTGATCTCTAGATCTTGCATGGTGGAGGAATCTGGTACCTTGGAGTCCCAATTAGAAGCCACCAAGGTTAGTTTTTAATGTATGAGGATTTATTGCTAATGCAGTAGAAACTATTGTGATGGTATGGTTATTTGCCTATTTTGTTTATAGCGTAAACACCAGGAGATCCGAGCCATGCGGAGCCAGCTGAAGAAGATTGAAGACTTGGGTGCAGCAATGGAAGAAGCACTGATATTGGACAACAAATACACAGAACACAGCACAGTGGGTCTTGCACAGCAGTGGGACCAGCTGGATCAACTAGGAATGAGGATGCAACATAACCTGGAGCAGCAGATACAAGCCAGGTACACAAACATGCACACGAGGCAGAGTCTTGCACCATATCAAATAGTTTTTAACGTTCTGGAATTTTATGGGCGGATATGCCGGCGGGTACTGAATACACACTGGCGGATCAGGACTAAACCAGGACTAAACCAGGACTAAACCAGGACTAAACCAGGACTAAACCAGGACTAAACCAGGACTACACTAGGACTGATCTTGGACTTGAGAGAGAGAACCCTGAGCCCATGGAGCAGGGTGTCCGCAAAGCACGATCGGGTGAAGGTTGCGCGTACCTCCATAGGGCGCAGAGCTATGCGCCGGTCCTTTCGTGGTCACCCAACGGTCTACGCTGGCACGCCTCTGGGCTCGTTCCGACAGTTAGTCCTGGTTCAGTTCTGGTTTAGTCCTTCTGGTTCACTCCTGGGATCAGTCCTGGTTCAGTCCTGGTTCAGTCCGTGACATGTGTGGTGCAAAAATTCGGCATCCTGATCAATGTTTCTTCTGCTCAGTAAATAATGCCTGTGAAGTAAAGTAAAAGTAAGTAAAATATGACTATATTTTTGACAGTAAACTCAGGTCTTTGAATTTTATTCGTACTGATTTCCTGATTGTAATTCATGAAGTCGTAACTTTTCAATTTGTATTCTGATGGATGCTTCAGTTAGAATAGTTTTATTTTGTGTGTGATTTATTGCGGGCATTGCCGGGTAATGTTAACGGGTCCGGGCGGGTGGGGGTTTAACTTTGATATAATCATGGGTTAACAGGCGGGTGCGGTGCTGTACTGCGCGGGTGCAGGCAGGTGCGGGTCTCCAAAAATTTACCCATGCAGGACTCTGACACAAGGCCTCATCAAAACATTCTTTCACATTCACACACTGATGGTGAAATCCTGTCCCCCTGACTTTAGGAACACAACAGGCGTGACAGAAGAGGCTTTGAAGGAGTTCAGCATGATGTTCAAGTAAGAAACTCCCATCATTAACCAGCTACTCCAAGTATATGGACAAACCTGATCAGTTTACATGTTTTTGTAGACACTTCGACAAGGAAAAGTCGGGAAGGCTAAACCACCAGGAGTTCAAGTCCTGTTTGAGATCACTGGGCTATGACCTGCCGATGGTGGAAGAAGGAGAGCCAGATCCTGAGTTTGAAGCCATTCTTGACACAGTAGATCCCAACAGGTTTGCAATTAAAATCTGAATGTAGTGTATTCCCTTACTCTTGTTTAATATAAGTAACATGTTCACAGGGATGGAAATGTGTCTTTACAAGAATACATGGCCTTTATGATAAGCCGTGAGACAGAAAACGTCAAATCCAGTGAAGAGATTGAGAGCGCCTTCAGAGCACTCAGCACAGAGAACAAACCCTACGTCACAAAAGAGGAACTGTATCAGGTAAGATGTGTGCCTTTTATTAGAATACAGATTCAATGCAATGCAATGTCTAACTCTCTGTTTCTTTCAGAATTTAACCAAGGAGCAGGCAGACTACTGCCTGTCACACATGAAACCCTACTTAGACAGCAAGGGTCGCGAGATGCCCTCAGCATTCGACTTTGTTGAATTTACCCGCTCGCTTTTTGTTAACTGATTCATAGCTCCCCAGTGATCAATCGAGATGCGTTTGCTTCACACTCAGACACAAAGCTGAAACTGCATGAATGTGGCACTAGAAATACTCAGTGATAGCCATTTACCTTTGTCCTAACTATGTGCTTCTAATAATATAATAACTGTCTGTATCTGAACGTGAATGTTTAGCCGTTTTAGCATTTGCTTTCACTGAATAATACACTGTTAATGTAAACACCTTGAAAACTGCAGTGTGCTTTTATTAAACGCTTCTGGTTAGAACTGGAAACATGTTGTTTTGTGTATTTATTAAAGATTTTTTTCAGTTCATCCAAAGGTTAACACATCTCATTCTGCCACTTGTTTGGCTATGTGGTCTAGCTGACTGATTTCTCTAGGGCCCTGCTCTGTCAAGTCACCACTGAGCTGCCATATGCTGGCTGTGCCATCAGTTTTCCCCACAGCCAAGAGGTGAGTGTTCTGGGAGTTAAATGCCAAACACGTCGCAGCTTGACCACTGCCACCCTTCTCAATGGTGGCAGTAGGCTTCAAAGACCCATGTCCTAGATCAAAAATCTGCACCTCACCTAGAAAATGAAAGTATAGTATTAAGATTGTAGAGTCATCCCTCACTGTAGCAAGACGATAATAAATTAGCTGCAGTTAGTTTCAGTGTCATTAGTAGATCTATAACTCAAAAACTGTTCTAACTTTTTTTTTTTTACATTTTAATGCAAGCTAACTACATTTTATTCAGAGGGCGAATAATGAATGAATACCTTGACTACTTGCTGCAGCAAACACTAGAGGTCTGCTTGGGGACCATTGCACCTGGAAAATGTAAGAATCAGAAACTCTGACAGAAAGCACTGGGTTGGCCTGGAGCAGAGAGTGGATGTGCGCGAGTCCGTCCGTCCCAGCACTTACAAAGAGGTTTCTGAAATAAAACATTACAGACACATTGTCACTTCAGAAATATTATGTTTATGCAAGGGCTATCTAATTAATTACAATATTACATTGTAAAAGTACTATTTATCAAAAAACAACTTGATTTTAATACTCATAAGGCAAAAATCTATGTTTTTCTGTGAGTGTCAATAGTGTAAAACCCACAAAATTACTAAAGACAAACATTTCTAAATTATTTTTTTTTAAAAAGAGGTACTTTTCATTTCTTGAGAGAAAAATGTATTTAAACTATAGTCTACTTATTTATTGGATAGCACCTGTATGTAGTACATAAGACTGCCTACCTGTGGAAAGGAGAACAGTGTATAGAATGAATAGGACCACTGTGTTTTCTAAATGAAAAGACCGCTGGGGCTCTTAATGAGACACTCTGGCCCTCAGAAGCAACCATTGCCAGCTTCTGAGATGAGAAAGAGCATCTGAGGAGCCAGCCTCCCTCCGAACCAACCAAGAATGTGTCAGAATCCCAGAATGATCTAGCCAGAGCAGTGACCCCAATGTTACTACTGCCTTTTGTCTGACAAAAAAAATAAGGAGTAAGTGTTGTTCAAAAACAACATTGATGATTTAAGTGTTTGCTATAGTCTCTCACCTTAAAGCCAGCACTATTGCTATGAGGAACTTGTTGCAAAATTAACGCATAGCCTGTGCTGAGAATTAGGCTGCTTTGGTCCAAGTTCCACAGAAGGATTCTTCCTCCAGAACAAGCACTGAGAATCCCAAACACACCCTTCTTCTGAAGGGTCATCCATGACACCTAAGGACAAAAAAAAGCAGCTTTGTATAACATCAGCCTTTCTGTCCCAAAAGACAATCTATTGTAACGAAGATATGTGCCTTATAAACTGGCTCTCTGTGACTGTCTGCCAATATACTGGTTTGGGCCAACACTGTATCCTGAGTGCGGCTAGTGTCCCAAACTACCACTTCTCCACTGTAAAGACCCCCTGCAAGCAGACCACATATTTACAGGCATTAAAAAAGCAAAAGCTAGAATTTGACTTTTAAATACATCACAGATATAGGGGCAGACAAAAAAGTGCAGAAATATTACTATACCTATACCATATTTGAAAAAATACACATATTTGTTTTATTTTTAATCTGCTATTTTTGTTGCTTTAAAATGGTTTTAATTATAATCAAATCTGTTGCAATATTATACATACTGGTCTTGGATTTCTACTTTTGAAAACTATGCAAGTGTTACACATTAAAACAGTTCTTCCCTACCTGCTATGAGGGCTGGCTGGTCTGGGTGACAGCACAGAGCCGTTACTGCTGTTGGGACATCTATGACCATGTCAGCATGTGTGGGACTCAGGCCTTTTCTGTTCAGGTTCCATGTACAGACAAAAGATTTTTCTGTGCTCCAGTCCCCATCATCTATCCTATAGAAAAAGAAAACAAAAGTAACTAAATAAATGAATTGTGAATTATTCTTTCTGGTATTATTCTTTCTAACGGTTAAAATATGCCATAACCTTAACCTACATTTAAGCTGTTTCATATACTCTGGCTACTTATGAAAGCCTAAAGGTGATTATTTCAAAAACCATACCGGCCAAAACCACAGGAAACAACAGAACCAGTACAGTTCCAGGATATACACGTCACATGTAGACCTCTCTCCTTAGCGCTGGGATGCTCAAGACAGTGAAGACATGAAACCTGTAAGCACACAACACATAACTTCACTGTTATGACTTGCTCATCAAACATACAGTCTATATTAAATCTTTTACGGACAAGATCACTGTGGTCCTCCCAGCTGACTTTAAATCCGTCAAATGCGTGACTTCTGGCATTTTTGACTAGCTCTCGGATAACACTTTCCACCACTCGGTCCAGAAAGTGCTTTAGTTCAGGTTTGTCGAGTTCCTTTGGGTTTGGTTCATACAGAGTGTGCTCATCTTTGTCCTCGAACTGGGTTTGTGTACCGCTAAAGCTGGTGATCACAGATTGTGCCTCTGCGTCTGCACTCCGCAGCTGTTTGGTCTGGCAGCTTCTCTAAAACCAGATGTGATCAATATTTACAGTCAATACAATACCGACAATATTTAACTCAACTAACATCTGATTTACATGAACTAGACATGTTGACCTTCGCTACATACCGAATCCTGCTCCGAGTGTTGGGACTGTCTCCATAGTGACTGGACACAGACTGAGTCTACGGTCTCGTCGCTAAACATGCTAGCTTCTAAAATGTTGTCCAAATAGGAAAAATTATACACAGTTGTAGTAAAAATAGCATATTAGACTAAGACGAGAAGATTGTGTTTGTCCATCTCAATAAATTCGGAGTTTTCCGACATGGCTTAGCATCACATCACGTGTCTTTTGTAAGCCAATCATGGATCATGGAGCCACTTCAGTGTCTTATGGTTTTCCCACGTTTCCATTATAACGAAAGATCTAAAAAAAAAAAAAAAAGATTTAAGTGGGAAAATAGGTTGTAGTAGATACATTAGGTGTACCCAGAGATAATATTTAAGAAAATTTCAAATACCAGTTTCTGCGGTTTGAGTTTGAAATCACATCGACAAATTTACTTCACGGGTGTAAATCCAATTTTAATAAATCGGTTCCAGATTGACTACTTTTCTGCCTCATTCTTACTTCATATGTTACCGTTATGTGTAAGACCTTTCAATAAAAGGTCCAACTTCCTTTTTAAATCAAAATGCCAGGCTAAGAAATTAAGAGCCGCCTACTTTGCACACTTCCTTATGAGCTTGCTGCCACGCCTGTTCTCTCTAAATAAAAAGTTCGCCACAACCAAAACTTCCTCATTTTAGTGTGGAAGAATGGACAACCCGAAAGTATTCTTCGACGTGGCGGCGGACGGAAAGCCTTTGGGGAGAATTGTGATGCAGCTCCGCAAGGACGTGGTGCCGAAGACAGCTGAAAACTTCCGGGCACTGTGCACTCATGAAAAAGGCTTTGGCTACAAAGGGTCCAGATTTCACCGGGTCATCCCCGACTTTATGTGCCAGGGGGGTGACTTCACCAACCACAATGGAACCGGAGGAAAATCCATCTACGGCAATAAGTTTCCGGACGAGAACTTTGTTTTAAAGCACACCGGCCCTGGCATCCTCTCAATGGCCAACGCAGGGCCCCACACCAATGGATCGCAGTTTTTCCTCTGCACTGTAAAAACGTCCTGGTTGGACGGAAAGCATGTGGTCTTCGGTTCTGTGGTGGAAGGCATGGATGTGGTCAGGGAAATTGAGAGCTATGGCACCAAAAGCTCTGGAAAAACTAAAGCGAAAATTGAGATCGTCGATTGCGGTGAGCTCTGAGCTCAGTACCGAAAGGAGCATCTTTTTTGCCCTGGCAAGTCCAGTTTTTTTTTTCTCCAGTGATCACGATGCATTCCAAGTGCTACTTTCCGGCCTGTTGTAGCGCAAAAATGTTTGTCGCATGACCAAATAAAAGTTTTATAAGAGATTGATACGGCTTTTCATTAATTTTGATAAATCTACTCAGTTTGAGAGCAGTTTAACAACTGAACAAAAAATATTTTTGTGGAATTGATACTTGCTAAAATGTCAGATCTTCAGTTTGCTTTGTGTAAACGTGTTTGATCAGATTCCTGCTTGCCACACCTTTAAGTTGGCATTACGGAAGCCAAAAATGTGCTAACCATGGATCTATTAGAATAGCTTAATGTATATCTTATTTTCTTTCAAATGCAAACATGTCGACAATGTGTGATCAAGCCACCCAAAAAGTTGTACATTTATTTATTTTACAAAGCAACAGGTACACTTAATTTTATAATAAATGGGTGTCCAGTGGAACAGAACAAATACTGCAGACTCCAGAGGGACTCTACATAAAAATCGTCTCTAAAATTTACCAAATGTTCAGCTAAGCTTAAAACTAGAATTGTGTGTATATATATATGTAAAAAAAAAAGACCTGTTGTGGATGTCTGAAAAAGAATACTACCCAAACCTGATGCCTCGTCCTATTATCCCTCCAAGTACAATTGTCTAATATCAAGATACATGTACCCGAAACATGTAAAGTTGAACATAACAAGCTGGTGCATTCAGTCAGTCCCATTAGTACAAGTAAAGGAAAATGCTTCTAGTGTCTTGAAATAACCCTCACCACTTAGTATAATATACATTTTATATAAAAGTGGTTAAGGATGCTATGATTAAATCATCACTGCACCATGGCTTATTTATTGAACTCACACCATTAACAGAAAATTTATTTTCATGTCTTACATACAAATTGCTATTGTACGCATTTTTAAATCTACGCAGATGACGTGCATAATGCTACAAAAAGTTCTTTTGCATGTCTTTGGGAGACGTACAGAAACAATGATGAGTGAGACTTAATAGAACCATTGTCCCTCCCCACCATCACCCTGTAGACCGGTGTAGACTGGTCTAAGACATGATAATATGGGCAGGCTGCAGCTGCAGGGAAGATGTTGGACAGGCTGACAACACACAGGAAAAAGTTGTTTATTTTACAAAACCTCCCCAAAACAAAATACTTTGCTCCCGTAGTTAATAGGAGGATCACCAAAGGTGACTGAATAAATGCCTTTTACTAATCATCATCCCCTTCATCCTGAAAGGACAAAAAGTTAAATTACTTTACATATAAACACACACAGCTGAAAAGTCAAACTACAACAACCTCACCTCTCCATCTTCTCCATCACCATCCTCCTCATCATCTTCTCCTTCTTCCTCCTCACCCTCATCAATATCCTCCAGACCCTCTTCCTCTTCATCATCATCATCATCACCATCACCCTCTTCGTCTTCCATGTCAGGGACCTGCAAAAAGAGTATATAGGTAAACTTTTTTTTTTAATAGAAGAGAGACACACAGACGCACTGCATTTTGCTTAGTTGCTTTGAGATAGTAGTTATAATCCATACCAAATAGTACTGAAGAGGGTTGGGCCAAATGTCATCCTTGATCACTTCCCCCAGCTCATCAGCTCCTGCATCTGAGTGGTCAGTGAACCAAGTAAAGAAGCTCTCGGGCTCTTCGTGCTGTCTCTTCTTTCCAGCTTTGTTAGGTGACTGGCCAGTGCGCTTAGTCAGATCCTAATAGACAAGATTTCAAGTGAAAACTGAAATAAATGCACATTTTTATTAGATTGTATTTTGTCTTCTAGCATTAATATTGTAGCCTAGTATAATTGCACTTGAGGTATTAAATTTTTTTAAATAAGAATGCTGACAATTTTCACAAATTGCATTAGAGTAAATTAAAAAAAATTATATTTCTGACAAGCTAGATCCTATGTATACGCAAAGTAAAGAACTAACCTTTCCGGCTTTCCATTTGATTTCAGTCGATTTGGACACAGGATCACCACTCTCATTTACGTTAAACTCTTTGGAAAGGGTTTTGTTCTCAAAATATGGGTTCTCATCAAAAAACTAAAAGCAAAAAAATTATGTTACACAACAATGCAATAAAGGTTAACATATAAGTTCTATCAACTTACAAAATCTATTCTATATCCAGACTTTATGTCCTCAAACTCTGTGACCTCAACCCTTGATAAGTAATGAAGTGCTTCTTCATCTTCCTCACCAAGAAGAGCTGAAACTAAATTCAAAGAGGAATACTATTTAATAAAAATGTTATCCTTATTGTTGTCCTGTGATTGTTATTCCTTTTTACCTTGTGGATGATTAACGAATGTTGTGACCCAAAAGTTAGGTATTTTGGCTATGAGCTCTGACCTCTTCTGAAAAAATGGCTGGCGTAATTTGTTGTACTTCTGTTCTACTTTTAAAATGTCTTCACTAGCCTGCTCGTTCAGTCTGTGGAGAAAAAAAACAAAGTTTCAAAATTCAGCATCATTAACATTTATCAAGATGATGTAACAAAGTGAACTTAAGCATCATACCTGTCAATTTCATTCTGTACTTCATCAATGTGTTCAATTGCTTCCTGTTGTTCCTTTTCTGAAAATGAATTCAAATGGAAATTTATGGAACAAAACACATAAACAAGCGCAACGTTACAATGCACTACAAAAGTCGCTCAAGTTTCTTGTAGACGCTCAACTATTCGTAAATTTGCATCGGTGTCAAATAAGAACATTCTTAAGATGTGCAAGTTTAAGCGTACTATGAATACGCCATGTAATGAGTGCCAGTAGGGTCGACACTCCGGCAGCTCGGCGCTTCCTGTCGCAGCTAAAGGCGGCCTGGTTTAAACAAGAGGCTCGTCTGTGCCTCGCTAAGATCCGTTATACCGAACAATGCGCTAAATTGAGGGATAGGTCTGGGGTAAAAATCAAAACTAATTAGTTGAAAAATGTAATGTAGCTATACGTGAACAAATGCATTTGGTGAAATCGTTTAAAAATAGCATATTTGTAACAAAAGTTGAACTATCTCTTATGTTAAACAGTTAGCATCACAGTTACTCAAAAGTCAGCCATAGTGATTTGAAGGAAAAGCTAGTGCATGGCGAGCTAATCAGAGACAATTTATATAGATGTGTTAAAGCAATAAATCAACCAACTTTGGCTAGAACGTTAAATAACAATCCACTACGGTACGGGTGGTTTTCTCTAGCTAGACTCGCGCAGGGTACCATTTGTGCGTGCAAGATGCAAATGTTGGCCCGTGTGGACAGCTAATACTCACGCTGCTAAAGTTAGCATCGGCTAAGTAGCGCGCAACGCTACACTGACGTACTGCATCATACCAATTAGCCACAAGTGTAAAAATAAGCGCATGCAACAACTATAGAGATAATGACCATAATATGCCTTCTTTCGTTACCGCAAAATATCCTCCGCCGTAAATAACAAAATTACGAGAAACAAATGAAAATGGCGTTGTTCGGGATAAGCGCCATTCTTTTAGCGTTACCAGAGGTCTCGTCCGCTCCGTCGTGATTTGAATTCTCCTTTCTGCTGACTTTCGCCGCTGACGCCGACATTGTTACTGTCTGCCGTGACCTTCCAGACCAGTACTAGATTCCAAATGCTATTGTTACTCCTTTCAGATGGCCAAAAGTTACTTCCACCTTGCACAGAAACCCACGATGAGGAGAAATAAGCGAAGCTCATGAGCTCTGCACGCCACTGCCTCTCTGGGATGCGCTCGGCCAATGAACACAACAATGGTGCTCTAGCGCCCCCAACAGAGTGGAGTGTGGTAATGAGTCTTGTGTGGATATGGATCAAATACTTTCAAGGAATATTAATAAACGTGCACCTGTTGCTTATCAATTCATTCCACATTTTGGTAATACTTCTCGTTTTTCACTGTAAATAAAGATTGCAACCAGACTTCCTTGAACCTGTTCCTTTATACCTTTGGTTCTCAGTCTGTGGTTCATATGGTTCCTGCCATAAGAGATGTTATGAGAGAGCCATTCCCCTTTTATTCCCTTTCCTGTGAAAGGACAATTTAACTGTTTATAATTTCTTTGTACAATTTATTAATTCGTAAGTTTATGAGGTTCTTTTGACACCATGATTTTATGCATCTTTTATAGATCCATGATCTGCACACCGTAGCAGGTGTATCCAAAGCGTTAACAGGATTGGTCCTCAATGGCCAATCATCTTCACCGCAGCAGGTTGACGCAGAATGAGCGTTGGTTTCTTGTTAACCCAATTCAAACTTTCCTCTATTTGTTTCTACGATGATCGGGAGCAGGACTTTCTGTGGATTATCCGTGATTTACATTGGAAAGCGTTTAAATAACGCACCGAAAGGACTTGATAGCGTTTTTTAAACTTTGTGTCCACGGAAAGATAACTGTATTTCTCACGGGACGAACTCTGACAGTGTGTGAATGACCAGCACAGTTGCCTGACAGCCATTATGTCAGGAGCGATGATACAGGTAAAGAAAAGATTTGCGTTTGTGGAGTACGCGTGTTTGAAGGATTGTAGCATAGATGTTATATAAGACACACAGCGATATTGTGACGTTTTCAGAGTTAAATACCACTGTATGGCTAAGCCACGTTCCCAGACATGCTCACTGGATTTTCCAGTTTGTCTGGTTTGGTTCTGAGGACCAAATCAGTACTTCTCATGCATTTATTATATTATTTCAGTATTTTACTGGACTTGTTTGACAATAGTATTATTTTGATGAATCCATTTCTACAATAAATTGTTATAACCCAGAGTTTGAATTGTGTTACACAATTCTACTATAAGCACCTTGTGGACGCATCACATCTTATTTTTACTTGGTCATAGAGAAGGGTTAGGGTGTTACAGGTTCTGATGGACAGAAAGCTTGGTGATATAGCGATTAACAATTGATACACTGCAGTGACATCACGCTGAGGGTGCTCTACATGTTTCTCTGTGATGGAATGTTCAGCAGTTACCAGCCAAAGAAGTTTTAAGATGGTCTGAAAACTCTAGAAAAAATGCAAAATGGATTTAAACAACACGTTTTCGGAAGCCCTTGAACAATACGAGCGATCATGGTCGTGTTTAGGAGTTTAATTTTCAACAGGAAAGGTGAGAGTGATTAATTGAAAAACTGTTGGCTAATGCTAGCTTACTTGTGACTGTAATTTTATGTGAGAGACTTGTTTAACAGTACAAACTCGTGTTTTCAACTACGTCAGGTCTTTCTGGTCAGATTATGTTAATAAAGTTAAATTTTAAGTCTAATAGACCTTCTGAAAGAGTAGTGCCTACAGTTAGCATAACACCCCCAGAGAATGTTGTTAACATCAGCTACAGAGTACTGACGTGTAAATGAAACCATAATCAATCCTTTATGTACATTTGCATTTTGAAGAAGTCAACTGTACTGTAAAACAATATGAAATGGCATTGACCTTAAAAGTGTGATTTTTTTTTTTTTTTTTTTTTTTTTTTTCAGAATGGCTCCCTCCCAGGTTTAGAGGAAGGTGACATTCTTGATCCTGAGTTCCAGCAGCGTCTGGAAGATGCCCGCACTGTTCTGAGGCAGGAAATCCAGAGAGAGCTGAAGATCAAAGAGGCAGCAGAGCGACTGCGGAGAGCTGTGACCAACCGCAGAAGTGCTGCTGATGTGGAGGGACAACTCAAGGCCTCCAGCCGCAAACTGGAGAAGTTACATTGGGAGCTCCAGGAGCTCAATGCTAGGTCCATGGCCACAGAGAAGGAGAACGTTACCAGTAATATTATTATTAAATCTCATGATATCAAAATTAAGTCTAATAATTGTAACAGTAAAAAAAATCTTTATTGTTTCAATGCAGATGCATCAGATGAGGTTGACAGACAATCATCAGAAGCATGTCAGTGGGACGACACAACTTCTCCTCTGGCCTGCCGCGTCCGGACTCTGAAGAAACAGTTAACAATGGAGACAAAGGTCAAACAGGGTGCAGAAAACATCATCCACACGTACCAGTACAGTGCAGTAAAGGTATATCAACTGACCTTTCAATCATTATTGCTTTAACAAGAATAATTTACATTCACGTATTAGTTTTTGTTATGTAAGAGATAATGATATATGATCAGATCAACAAATTGGCTTAAATACTTTAATTTATGTAAATTTTTCAGGACAGAAAGATGTTGTCAACTGCTCAGCAAATGCTGCAAGATAGTCGCACTAAAATTGAGTTGCTTCGTATGCAGATTATCAAAGTCACACAAGCCAAAGATGACGGACGTGATGGTTCAGTTGGTAATGCTTGCTTTTCTGTTACTACAATTGGAAGTTTTTAGATCCGTTTAAAGAAGCAGGTTTGTGGCAAACTCAGTTTCTTTACCATGAAAAGAGAAGACTCAAATTGGGTAACCCTTTAACCTTAAGTTTTATCAGAGTCTCCTTCTGAAGGACTGCTTTTATAGGACTTTCTCATTCCCACATGTAAACAAGGAATATTGATAAGGAGTATTTAATATTTTGAGTGTAAATTCATTTTCCATTTTAAACCAATTTGTTTACATTTATGATTTTATTAAAAAACTTTTTTTTTTTACTTTTTTTTGCTTCACAACTATCAGGTCAAATATAGTGAGTGTAATGTTGTGTTTGCAATTATTCATTTGCCATATAACTGCAGCAAAAGACTTTAGGCATAAATAAAACATAAAACTCATCACAGGTCATCCAGTCGATATGATCAGTCCTCTGGAGCTGAGAATAGCAGAGCTTATGCACCACATGAAGATTGAATCAGCTGTGGCAGAAGGTGCCAAAAACGTGGTAAAGCAACTGGGTGGACGCAAGATCCAGGACCGACGCATTCTAGCGGAGGTAAAAGCTTGTTATACTGGTATACATACTTTTACAGTATTTTGTTAAATCTGTTTGTTTCTTTATTTTTTCTCACCAGGCTCAGGCCCGAATGCATGAGTCAGCTCAAAAGGTGGATTTGCTGCACCTGTCATTAGAGAGGCGTTTAAGTGAGCTCCCGCAGGACCATCCTAAATATGCTGTGATCAAGCAGGAGTTGGCTTCAGTATTGTCGTCATCCTTAAGTAGCCCAAATAGGCAACATCACACCCTATCATCCTCTTGCTCTTCTTCCTTTTTTAAACCAGCCAGTCTAACAGGTCATTGTACCTCTTTTTTTAGTCTGCATCAGATATGTCTGTCTTTATTAATTTGTATGTTCACACGTTTTCAGGCCGCTTAGAGGTGTGTTTGATGGGCTGCCAGGACCTGCTGGAGAGCGTGCCCGGCCGGGGTCATGTCACGCGCCTCTTTGCTGCTGGCACTGATGGAAAGTCTCTGAAGATGAGAGCTGGGCTGTCAGGCCGTAGCACCAACGGCAAGACCAGCAGGGCAGAGGAGTTGTCATGCAAGTTACTAGACTATTTCTAGACTTTCTGGGGATTTTTTTGCTATATATCAAGGGTGTATCTGTTACCATTCAGACTGATGGTCCCTAAAATCCACCCCAAATTAAAGTTGAGGTAGTTTTTGAAATCTCTGGAGAATAAAAAATGGCTGTGAAATCAGATTTAAATTTCCACCTTGATGGTATGGACAGAAAGACCTATACTGTGCATTTGACTATTCCCATTTTAAAGTTGAATGCTAATATTACACAAAATTCATAGACCTATTATTAAGTTTTTTTTAAAAGTGTCCAGGCAGAATACATATTAAAAGTAAAATTTTAATCAAAGTCAGATTTTTTTTTAAATTGTGCTTTTGGTTATTGCTTTCCATGTATAACTTTATACATTCTCAGTACTTCCCTTTTTATAGTTTTTTAGTTTATATAAGATTAAGAGATTAACTGACTGTATTTAGTTTAATACACTTCCAGTCAAATGTTTAGACACACTTTCTCATTCAGTGTTTTTCCTTTGTTTATTACTTTCTACATTATATATACAAAAAATTGCAATAAAATATAAAATAACTCACCTAAATATTCATATATATTCAATATCTTCCAATCCTCAAAGTAGTTACCCTTTGTTGACATTGCTCCAAACCCTTGGCCTTCTCTCAGTGAGCTTCTTGATGAAGTCTCCTGAAATGGTTTTCACTTCACAGTTGTGCATTATCAGAGTTAAGACACCTGGAAAATCAAAGTGAAATGATGTGGCAGTCTAGTCCATTTGGTCAAAACTTAATTTCTGCAATTCACAACTCAAATGGTTCTCTATATCTTCTGTGGCCCATACGTGCTTGTGTGCATGTTTGACAAGGTCGTGGCATGCTCCTAATGAGACGACTAATAGTGCCTTGTGGGATGTCCTCCCAGATCTGTGTAAGAGCATCACTGAGCTCCTGTAGAGTCTGAGGAGCAACGTGGCAGCGTCTGATGGACCCAAAGATAATGTCCCAGAGGTGTCCTATCGGGTTTAAGTCAGGTGATCGTGAGGGCCATTCAGTTGTAAGTTAAGGTTAAGGAAAGACCTTATGCTCCCAGTAGTGATAATCACTTTAGCCAAAGCAGCACTAGGGAAAACCAGCCAAAAAAGAGGAAATTTGAAATTACCTCCACATGCAAAATCAGTCCTGTTTTAGGGGCTGTCTCATTGTTGTCACTCTAGTGCACCTGTCCTTAATTTCGATTAGAAGACCTGGCATCCTTTTGTTCCTAAGACATTGTCCTGTTCATGTTTGTTTAGATACATGATATTTCACATTGAGATCTGATGTATTTTCAAAATGTTCCTTTTAATTTTGAGCAGTATATTTTTTTATCATCTAAAACAAGTTTTAGAGTCTAGCAAAAATCTAGCAAACAAAAAATGTATTCAAAATATATCATTGATGCCTAGAGTGAGAATCTACAATGCAAATAATCATGGAAATAAAGAAAAAACATTTAATCCACTGGTGTATGAAGGTCAACTGTTGGGTTTGTCAAATGAATCTTTCTTTTTTTCTGTGTTACAGCTGAGATAAGTGCAGTGCTTAAGGTGGACAACAGGATTGTAGGGCGCACGCATTGGAGACAGCTGGGCAAAGAAGCCTGGGGCCAGAGCTTCAGCACCGAGCTGGAACGGGTCAGTGACTCACATTTTATTAAGGGATGAATGCAGTTTTTAAATAATTTCTGTCTTGCAAATACAGTTCAACCTCTTTCTAGGATTTATGGAGGTTTAAGAATACATGCAAGAATATCTATATATCATGATTTAATGCCAGGTCTGTCTAGAATTCCTACAGAGATTATGTGCTCTTTCTGTTGCCCTTAATGGTGAACATCTGTTACTGTGCTAAACAGAGCCTGACTTTTTGTCCCTGATGGAGTGAGAATAGCCAAGTGTGCCTCTGAAACCATGTCTGCCTCTTATTCCATTCGTGTAATCTGATAATCCCTTTGACATCAACTCTAATCTGACTGGACACATACAAGTCTGGCATCCACGCCTGAATTGCCTTTGAGTCATAACTAGTTTGTGTTAATTTGTTCATATAACTGTATTCATAACTGAAATCAATTGGAACCATATAATATTGCAATTTTTAAATTTATTTGTGTCTTTTATGTTGCCCCAGTCCAGGGAGTTAGAGATTGCAGTGTACTGGAGAGACTGGAGGGCATTAAGTGGGGTCAAGTTTCTGCGTCTTGAGGACTTCCTTGACAATCAAAGACATGGCCTGTGTTTGGAGCTGGAACCACAGGGCATCCTCTTTATTGAGGTTTCACCCCCTTATACTATATTACAACAGTTATAACCAGGAAATGTTGAGGTTTTGTTTCATTCAAATTTTTATTTATTTTTTTTATTATTTAAAGGTTACATTCATCAATCCTGTCATTGAGAGGCCTTCTAAACTTCAAAGGCAGCGAAGAATATTTCCCAAAGAAAAAGGTACAAATAATTTCTATTTTGTTTTTAAACCATTGACAACACCACAGATACCTCCATATAGTTAATTAAAAGCTATTGTTACATATTTTTTATTTGGTTTTAGAGTACATTTTCATCATTTGTGTTTTTCTGTCTGTTCTCACAGGAAAGAATTTCCTGCGTGCTGCTCAAATGAACATGAACTTTGCGACTTGGGGCCGTTTGATGATGAGCATCCTCCCTCCTTGCAGTTCTCTAGAGCCCTTGAGTCCCCCATTAGCAGGTTCCAACACTGCCCTCCCCTCCTCGGCCACATCCCCTCCTCGGTAATGCTTATCTTTTATGTTTTGTGAGACACTGACCCAGAAACACTGCATTTATGAAAGGAGCTCGGCACAATAGATGCACTTTACCAATGCTCATCTTTCACATTTTGCTCAAAGATATTTACAGTCATATGGAACACAACAGTGACTTAAATGGAAGTCAGTAGTTAAGACAAAATTCTAAACAATTTCACTTTTACACATTTTGTCTCTAAATGTTAAGTTAACAGTGATATGTGTTTATTATTTCAGGAAATCTGTAGCAAATGTTAATAGTAATGAAGAACAATCCCCAATTTGCTCAAGAAAAAACAAAGACTCCCTGGTAAGTGGTTTGTGTCTAAGAGATGCAGAAAAATACAATGTATTTTACTCTTACCAGACTGCATTGGTCATGCAATTATAAAATATTGCTTTGCAGCTAATTCATGACAACAGAAGTTTGATGCCTAAAAGACAACCTTCTATTCAGCCAAAGTAAGTGGTAGAACATGTTTCATGCTAAGAAGACTTATTTAAGACCTACATGTATATTTTCCTCATGTACAGGCTCAAGAAAGGACTACACATTGAGGAATTCAATTGCATTTCAGTGCTGGGAAGAGGGCATTTTGGAAAAGTAAACATTCGATTTTGAGGGTCTTTTAGAAGTAAGGGAAGAAATACCTCACGTTCTGTCTCCTATACGAAAGGTGCTGTTGGCAGAGTACAAGAAGACTGGATTGTTGTATGCCATCAAAGCTCTAAAGAAAGGGGATATTGTCACACGTGATGAAGTTGACAGGTAAGCAGTAGATATACTAATGGGAAAATATTACCGTCTAGCTAATACATGTAGTATTGCTGTCCTCTTTGTTTATTTTACAGCCTCATGTGTGAAAAAAGGATCTTTGAAGTGATAAACGCCTCACAGCATCCTTTCCTGGTTAACCTTCATGGCTGCTTCCAAACATCTGACCATGTGTGTTTTGTGATGTCTTATTCACCTGGTGGGGACCTCATGACACACATACACACCAGTATATTCAGTGAGAAGCAGACTCGGTAAACTAAGCTCAAGCAATCCCCAAGTAGAACATGTATTTCAACCTTAATTCACGTTCTTATGTGTTCAAGGTTTTACTCGTCATGTGTGCTACTCGGATTGGAATTTCTTCACCAAAACAAAATTGTTTACAGGTAACTATCCTCGTGCTGATACACCGGTAAACTGAAATAGAACTGTATTTTATAGTTTTATGTCTGTTTTGCAGAGATCTAAAGTTGGATAATCTGCTTATGGATGCTGATGGTTATGTCAGGATAGCAGACTTTGGCTTGTGCAAAGAAGGTAATGCACTTGAATGTACACAATAATGTACCATCGGATAAAAACATTGGGAGAGACTTGCATGAATACATAATATTTAATTATATATTTGGGAGTGGTATTTAAGGTTAATTGTCCTTCCTTATGGTCTGTACAATACCCTGCTTTACATTAGAATAGCACCATGAGGAAATCCATTTGCACAACCCTGTATTTCTACTATAAGAGAACCTTTTGCACACAAGTTTTTAAATAAAACAGCCTAAAAATGCCCTATGATTTAAGGCTGAGATGCAAAAAATGAAAATATCCCTTTACCATTTAGCAATTTGCAATTTTCTCACAACAACTGGAAACATTTATTTTTCCTTGAGTAATTATTTAGTTCTTGTATTTACACTTGACTTTATTCATGGGTTTCAGGCAAATTATTCCTTCCTGATTTGAAAAGAGTTGTCAAGACCTTTCCACATTTAAAATGTATATTTTTACTTTAATCACACTGTAACAATAATAATGGTAGACCATTGCCATGCCAATTCCTTCAAATCAGAAATAAATCCTCATGCCTGAAATGCATGAATAGGTGGCATTATGTCTATAACTTCTATAGTTAGTATGATATGAAAAACTGCTGTGTCTAGGTATGGGCCATGGGGATCGGACGTCAACATTCTGTGGGACACCAGAATTTTTAGCTCCTGAGGTACTCACTGACAACAACTATACCCGCAGCGTGGACTGGTGGGGGCTTGGGGTTCTTATTTATGAGATGCTTGTTGGAGAGGTTAGTAGGAATTATTCAAATGTATAAACCAAGTCTTGGGTTTTGCTAATGATAATGGTCCAATTTTACAGTCGCCATTCCCAGGTGACGATGAGGAGGAAGTCTTCGACAGCATTGTCAATGATGATGTACGCTACCCTCGCTTCCTTTCCCCTGAGTCTGTTTCTCTCATTCAGAAGGTTGGATTCTTATTTTTACGAAACTGAAGAAATTATTTTATGTCTTCATTATGTGACATTGTTAACCTTTCAGTACTTAATTATTTTTTGGATAATATTCAAGTTGCTGCAGAAAAATCCCGAGATGAGACTAGGAGCTGGAGAGGAAGATGCTGCCGAGATCAAAAGACACAAATTCTTTCAGGTAATTTTATAGTCAAGACTGGATTTTATAAAATACAATGACAAATTATAATCTTATGTTTACATAATAGTAAACATAACATTGTAATTTGTCATTTTGTATTATAAAATAAGATGTCTGTATAATCCCTCAGTTGTAGGATCCTTAGCAAAAGTTATTTGAGTGAAGTCATTTTGCAGCTCATTTAAGTGGCTTCTTCAGTTCTGGTCAGATTGCTGATTGGACACTGCCTTATATCTGCCTGAGGAGCTAACCACACTGAAATTACACTGAGACTGTACACTGTGAAAGCACCCATCAGGGCCCTGAACTATTATGCTAATATGACGCAGGCACAGTTCACACTTAGTGCATTTTAACAGATCTAATCAACAAACAGAAACTGTAAATATGTAAGTGTGTTAGTTTCAGTGTAGTTTCAGTGTAGTTAGCTTCCATGCAGATATAACTCAGTGCCCACCAGCAATCTGACCATAACTGAAGAAACTGCTTGGATGAGCTGCAAAATGTCTTCATTCAAATCACTTTTGTCCTGTTGACAAAATTGTATTTTTCTTTTGCTATATAAAATAATTTTTAATGTTTAAGTTTTCATATTGTGTCATTGATCCATTGCAGGGTGTTGACTGGGAAGCTCTACTAGCCAAAAGAATGAAGCCTCCATTCGTTCCTGTTATCAAGGCAGCTCAGGACGTCAGTAACTTTGACAAGGAATTTACTTCCCTCAAACCTGTTCTCACTCTCCCACGAACACCTTGCGTTCTCTCAGCTGAACAACAAGAGATATTTGCAGACTTTGACTTTTCCTTTATGAGATAAACAACTAACCAACATAACTCCTCAAATTCAGATGCAAATCATGGTCCTGATTTTCGAGTCCTGACCACTTCCATCTATTCTTTCCAGTTTTTCTGG